TGGGCGAGAGTGCTGCCCGCGGCCGGCCTACTCCCACCCTGACCGCAGGCAGACTGGTGAAGGGCCTCTCCAAGGAGGACCGGGTCCCGCTGCAGGGACACTGCGGGCCGGTGGAGCCTGCAGGCAGCCGGGCAAGGAGCGACCCCCACCTCCTCCCGGGGAAGTCTGGGGACTGCATTGGAGGACGAGGCAGACGGGGAAGGAGGCCGGGACAGGCCACAGGAGGAAAGGCGCCTCTGCTGGCCACGAGCCTGAGGCCAGGCTGGGCCGCCCGGCCAGAGACAGAAGCAGAGGCACAGCGGACAGGCGGGCCTTAGGGCACCGTGCCAGGACGACTCTGGACCCCGCCTCCGCTCCACAGGGAAACGGAGCCATGGGGGCTGGGGTCCGAGGCGGACGGCCCTGTGGCCCGAGGGCAGGGCCTGGGGGCACAGAACTCTGGGGCCCACAAGCACATATCACAGTGGCGCCACATGTGACCCGGGGCAGGATCCAAGGTTAAGGCGACAATCCTGAGGCCACGGTCCCGCCTTTGAGGGTGGGGCACCTGCTGGTGCCACTCAGATGCCCCATGATGCCACCTACGAGCAGAGCCCATGGGGACTCACCCAAGACCCCCTGAGGGCCCCGGGAGCCTCAGCCCAGACCCCCCGGCCCGAGCCTTAGTTTCCCCATAAAGAAACAAGGACAATAAAGAAGGGGGTCCACTATCTGTCACCCAAACTGAGACACGAGGGTGTAAGAGAAGACGTAAGAAACAGCTGCATCATTTTTGAAATATGTACTGACTGGCAAACTGGCTCTGTCTGCGCTAACCATAAGATGGTTCTGGTCAAAAAACAATTTTTGGCCGAGTGTGGTGGCTCACACCTATGATCCCAGCACTCTGGGAGGCCAGGGAGAAAGGACTGCTTGAGCCCAGGAGTTCGAGACCAGCCTGAGCCACATAGTGAGACATCATCTCTATAAAATAAATAAATAACAAATTATTTTCCTAAAGCGTGACGCCTGGTGGGTGGACAGGACACCAGGCCCCACCAAGCTGCTGGACACAGGCCACACCCGCACACAGACTCAACCCCGGGGCCAGGGTTCCAGGGACGGGCCATTCCTCATCCGTGGCTGTGACCATCTCGCAGACCCGGCAAGAGCGTCCGGCGCCTCCGCCAAGGGCCCAGACGTTCAGGGCTGGGGGCCTCAAGGGTCGGGCCATGCCCGGGCCCTGCCCACAGCCCTGCCGCCCCGCCCTGCGGCCTCACCTTCCGCCTCCTCTGCCATCTCCTCCTCATTCCCGCTCGCCCCCGACGCCTCCATCTCCTCGTCCTCCGCCGCGGGTGGGAACGCAGCCTCCTCGCTGGCAGCTGCTGGTGCTTTCTTCTTCTTCCTCCGCGCACTCCTCTCCTTCTCCTGGGGCGCAGGGGTCAAGGTCAGGGACAGGGTCGGGGTCAGGGCCGGGGCCCAGCTGGCCCTCGGGGGCTCCCCAAGGCCTCGCCACACCTGCGATCCTGCCCGTGGACTTTCCCCCTCAGGCCCCTCACCACAGCCAACACGCCCAGAAGCTCCTCAGAGACTAGCCTGGTGCCTTGGCTGTGGCCACCCTCCACGAGAAGGCTGAGAGCCTGCCCCGCCTGCCGGCCACGGGACTGCTGCAGCCCAAATCACGGGGCCACACTCCCAGGGAAGGCCCTGCAGCCCCATCCAGACACTCAGGCGGGTGGGCGAGTGGACCTCGTCCTTGGACGGCTCACCTGCCCCAAGCCCCGGGGACAGGCCAGCTTGGAAGCCACTAGTTTTATCCTGCAATCCTTTACAGAGCGCCTACTGTGTGCCCAGGAGCTGGGGACACACAGGGCCCGGAGCAGACGCGGCCTGCCCTGTAAGGCTGCACCGTGCAGAGAATTACGACTCAAAGGTACTGACAAGGCCTGTGGAGGAGGACCTGACAGGGTGCGGGGCCCTGTGGTCGGAATGGTCAGAAAAGGCTTCTGCAGGGAGGCGGCAGCTGGGCCAGAGTCTGACGCAGTTAGGGCCAGGCCAGGCTGGACCCCAGGAGAGGTGGGTCGGGGCCCACAAGAGTCGAGCCAGTGCATTCAAGGAAGGAGGGTAGTCCCCACGGGGTCCTCTCCTACAGCACCTCCGCTCCCTTGAGCCCCAGCCCCCATGCTGGGAGCCAGGCCTGCACCCCCGGCTGGGGCGCAACCGTCCAGCTGCCCATCCTTGCACCTTGCGGCCCTGCGTCTCTTCTCCCCCGACAGACCACGGAGAAGCTCGGCAAGTGTTTGTTGACCGACTTGCGGAGCACCCGTGATGGACACCTTATAGGAGTCGAACGATCGGTCAGCAGAGGGCGGGGACACGGTGGAGGCAGCACCTGCTGGGGGCTGGAGGTCATAGGGTCGCCCAGGATGGGTGTGCCACCCCTCTGTGGTGTGAGGGGACCGCAGCCCGAGTCCCCTGGACCCACAGCACGCATGGGAATGCCGCCAGCTCAGCGAAGCCCCTCATGCCATGAGCAGTGTCCCAAGACTCACGTCCCGCCAGGGCCTCAGAAGGCGACCAGACTTGGACACGCGGTCTCGTGGACGCGGCTGGCTGCACTGACGTTACGCTGGACAGAGCGGGCCCGGGCCTGGCATGACTGTGTCCTCGTGCGAGGGAGACACAGGCACGGCGACGCAGAAGGAGCGCGCGGCGACAGGCAGCACGTGCACGACAGGCCGCGATGCGCCGGAGATGGAGGGGCCCCGGCCGCGAGCCTAGCCCCGCGGACCCCTGGACCCCTGGACCCCAGGCCCTGGCCGAGCCGCGAGGTCACGAACATCCGTGGCACTTAGTGATGGCAGTCATGGGAGGGACACACCCCTCTGCACCAGTTCCCCGGGTTCTAGGAAAACACCACCCTACATCGAAACACACACCGCCAGGCCGGGCCTGGTGGCTCACGCCTGTAAGCCCAGCACGTCGGGAGGCCAAGGCCGGAGAATCACTTGAGCCCAGGAGTTCAAGACCAGACGGGGCAACACAGTGAGACCCTGCCTTTACAAAAGAAAACAACAGAATAAATAAGATAAAACGTGCACACGCGTTCTCAGGGCAAAAGCCCTGTGCCCTCTAGGCTCCAGGCAGGCGCTGCCCATCCAGCCCCTCGCCTGTCCAGGCTGGAGACAGGCCTCGTGGAGGGGCGCGTCTCATGCTCCCAACGTGCTGCCAGTCCCAGCCACAGCCCGGGAGGACTTCTTCCTGTCCTGCCCGCTTCCTGCGAAGCGGGGATGCCCCAGCTCGGCTATGGGACGCGAGACGAGAAGGGGAACATGTCGCCCGCTAGTCACAGCCGGCAGGGGATGCCCATCCGTCCCAGACCTGGCCAGCCCAACCCCGCCCAAAACTACGAGAATCTCGAGGAGGGCTCAGCTGGAGCCTGGAGGCTGAGAACGTGGCGGCGTGTGCTTCCCCCTCTCTTCTCAGGACCTAGGCGAAGGGTAGGCCGGGCATCCCAGCGGCCCCAGTGCGGGGAGGTGCAGGACGCCGGAAGCCTGGCAGGGAGCGGGACCACCGTGGGCCTGGCCATGACGCACAGCCTCTGGGAACGTGGGCCGCTCTGGGAGGGCCTCCGAAACGGGGCAGGGGAAGGCGGGACGGGGCCAGCGCGCCAAGCTCCCTGGAGGCTGGGACGCAGCAGGTGTCCTAAGAGCCACAGCACACCCCTGCCCGCACGGCCAGCACCTCAGGCCAGGAAACGCCGCGAGACCACCAACCCCTGCTGCTAACGGCCACTGAACACCTCCCGTGTGCCCACTGTGTCCATGTGAACGCACTGGACCCTCATGGCTGCGCTGCACACCCGGCCTTCACCCTCGCTGAGGCCCCAAACCTGGGTAAACTCCAGTCCTCGCCAGGCCACGAGGTCCTGTATCATCCGGACCAGACCCTGCCCACCTCTGCCTGCTTGACAGCCCAGACACAGGGCCTTTGCACGAGCTGTTTCCTGCCGGGCCCCTCCCAGATACCCACGTAACTCACTTCCTCACCTCCTTCGGGGCTTCACTCGGAGGTCACTTCCTCAGAAGGGGACTCCCTGGTTACCCCTCACAGCAGCTGGCGCCCTCCCTGAGTCCTTGCTGCTACGCTCCTGCCTGAGCGTCTTCCGACTGTTCTGAGATCCATGGGTGTGAACCTGCCTTTCGCTCTAGACCTGGCTCTGAGGGCTGGGAGTAGTCTTCCCACCGCACCTCAAACAGCACTGGGCACAGAACGGGCGCTCTGTAACTACTTCTTTTTTTTTTTTGAGTTGGAGTCTCACTCTGTCACCCAGACTGGAGTGCAGTGGCCGCTCCCGGACACTGCAGCCTCAACCTGCTGGGCTCTGGCGATCCTTCTGCCTCAGCCTTCCAAGTAGCTGGAACTATAGGTGCGCGCTACCACGCCCGGCTAGTGTTTTGATTTATTGTAGAGACAAGGTCTTGCCAAGTTGCCCAGGCGGGTCTCAAACACGCGGACTCAGGCAACCCACTCACCTCAGCCTCCCAAGGCAGAAGATTACAGGCTGAGCCGAGCCCAGCTTGTAACTACTTCTCAGAGGAGTGAACCTGGCAGACGAGGATGCCAGCTCACAGAGGCAGAGACCTGCTGCCCAAATGCACACAGCTTGCGTGTGGAGATGTCCGGCATGAATGCGGGCAGGTGCCTGGACCGTCGTGCGGGCCTGCCCAGCCTCGGCTGGGAGACGGATGCAGGATGCGGGGCTGGCCCAAGGCGGGCAGAGACGGCTTGGAAGCCGAGCCAGGCCTGGCCCTGCAGCTGGAGAGAGGGTAACCTTCGGCCACGCGGAGGGAGGGCGCCCCGCGAAGACACTGATGCCAAGTGTTACATAACTCCGGGACGTGCCCCGCCTGCCCCGCCCGTGGATCCTGCTTCCTGCTGACTCGGGCCAGGCCTGGAGCGAGGCGGG